GGGCCTGCAGCCCGCTCGCTGTCCCCACATCGCTAGGGCCTGCAGCCTGCTCGCGGTCCCCACATCGCTAGGGTCTGCAGCCTACTGGCCGTCCCCGTTCTGTTCTGGCCTCCAGCCCACTGGTCGTCCCCGCTCAGCTAGGGCCTGCAGCCCACTGACTTTGCTTAGGGGATCCGGCATCGTAGCTCAAGGGCAGCTTTTGATAACTGTCCGGACTTGGATATAGTTAGTCATCTGCTCAGGACAGTCAGAATCAGGATCTTCGCCACATAAGCACTGAGGAACTAAATGTCAGGCAATCCACCCATACTTTGACTTGCCTGCCCCATTGTGGACTGTTTACCTTCTGGAATGACAGAAAGATATTAAGGGAAATGGAAGGGGGTGGCACTGATGTTACATTTGGTGGAGGTGTAGAGATGTCCCAACTGAGTCAGTAGGCAGCATAGAGAACATGCAAAGGTTCATGGTGTCCAGAGTTGGAGTTGGGGTGTGGAGAGTGGCGGGTGGAGAGTGGGAGAAGACGTTGCATGAAATGTTGAGATGTCGAGCATGAGCCTTGGTTGTAGGTGGATATAGTAGCAGAGTAGGGGCAGTATCCCTGTGTATAGTTAAGGCTGAAATAAATTCTTCATCAGTTGGAGAAATGAGGAATATCAGATCAGCCATATTGAATAGCAGAGCAGGTTCGTGGAGCCAAGTGACCTTCTTCCTATTCTTGTTTGTTATGGTCTTATTGAGTGAGTGTGAGGTATTCAGAGAGGAGATAGTGGCACTGCAGCTGGCGGAGTGGGGAATGACATTGACCTTTTTCCTATAGATTGCCTTCATAGACATATGGTAAAACCTTGCATATTCTAATAAATAAATGAAATTCCTTCTAATTTCAACATTTCTAGAGTGCTCTGTGCAGTACCTGTCACCTTATTTAAAGGAGCATGTAAATGAAGTTGGAACAGAGAATATTTGCTAGATGAATACCTGAAATGGGAGTGGTTGTCTTATGAGAAAAGGTTGGACTAACCTTGGCTAGGCTTGTGTCTGCTGGAGTTTAGGAGACTAAGAGGTGACTTGATTGAATCATGTAAGATCTTGAGGGGACTTGATAGGCTGCATGTAAAAAGGAAGTTTCCTTTTGTAGTCGCTCTTTAAAGACAGCGGACCAGAAGAGAAGTTTTTTCTTTCACAATGTCATGAGCCTTTAGAACTCTCTCAAAACATGGTGGAAGCAGACTCTTTGAATATTTTTAAGGCAGAGCTAGATAGATTCTTGATAAACAAGTGGGTGAAAAGTCATTGGAGATAGGTGGGAATGTGGGGTATTCAGATTAACCATGATCTCAGTGAATGGCAGTGCAGGCTCAAGATGCCAAGTGGCCTACTCCTGCTTATAACCCCTTTTGCTTCTGGTAATACTGCTTTTATCCCTTTGTTAATGATAAGGTGGAATGCTGGAAATAGTCTTTCACTGTGTCAACTACTAAACCATGTCATGTGTCCAGAACATTTGAGCAGTCTTCAATCCATTATTTTAAATTTTGCTTTTAGGTCTCCCTTTTCCTTTTTACTGTTCCAATAAATAAAGTTGCATTTTTTCCAACACCCTTGTTTTTATTGGACACTGTGTGAACTACTGATATCTTCCTTGCATAAGTTGCCACGTATGGAGGGTTTCAGCTATGGGGAGAGGCTGACTAGGCTGGGGCTATTTTCCCTGGAATATCAGATGCTGAGGGGTGACTTTATAGAAGTTTATAAAATCATGAGGGGCATGGATAGGGTGAATAGTCAAGGTCTTTTCCCAAGGGTAGCAAAGTCCAAAACTATACAGCATAGCTTTAAGATGAGAGGGGAGAGATTTAAAAGGGACCTAAGAGGCAACTTTTTCATGCAGAGGGTGGTGCGTGTACAGAATGAGCTGCCAGAGGAAGTGGTGGAGGCTGATACAATTACAACATTTCAAAGGCATCTGGATAGGTATATGAATAGGAAGGGTTTGAAGAAATATGGGTCAAATGTTGGCAAGTGGGTCTAGATTAATTTAGGATATCTGGTCAGCATGGATGAATTGGACCGAAGGGTCTGTTTCCTTGCTGTACATCTCTATGACTCTAAGACTCTAAGTGATGTAAGTTAATCCACAAATGCTGAAAGCTCTGTAGGCTGATGAGAAATCAGCTTTTAAAAGAAATGGACTAATGCAGGCAATGTGGAAGAATATTTCTCTAGAGATAGCAAGGAAAGCCCAAACCCTGCAAATCAGCAAACAAAACAGAAAATGTCTTATTGATCAGTCAACGTCCAAAGGATGGCAGACAGGTTGATGCCTCAAGCAGGACCCAGTGTTGTCACACTTCTAAACAAGGGCTCCACTTGGAACATTAACCTTCCTATTCAGATGCTGATAAGGCTGCCTGAAATTTCTAACACTTTACAGTTTTCCGAACAGAATATAATGCCTCACAGTGCCACCTGACTTTGTA